TGTAACATATCATATCAACAGAATGAAGAAGAAAAACCATATGGTCATGTTAATTGATGTTGTAAAAGTACTTGAGAGAATTCAACATCTCTTCATGACAAAAACCCTCAAAAAAACTGGAGATAGAAGGAACATACCTCAACATAATAAACAGACATATATGACAGACTTACAGCTAGAATCATACTAAATGGGGAGAAACCGAAAGCCATTCCTCTAAGATCTGGAACAAGACAAGGATGCTGATTTTCATCAGTGTTAGTGGAACATAGTACTGAAAGTCCTAGCTAGAACAGACAAGAGACAGAAATAAAGGGCATCCAAACTGGGAAGAGAAAAGTTGGATTACCCTTGTTCACAGATAGTATGATCTGTTTGGAAAAAACCTAAAGACTCCATTAAAAAAAGACTAGAACTGATAAATTCAGTAAAGTTTCACGATACAAAGTTAACATACAAAATCCATAGCATTTCTATATGCCAATAGCAAACAATCTGAAAAGGAAATCAAGGAAGTAATCCCATTTCCCATTTGCAATAGCTATAAATAAAATTAATAATAATCTCATCTCTTCAATAAGTGGTGTTGGGAAAACTGCATGTCCACATACAAAAGAATAAAATTAGACCCTTTTAATATACAAAACTGGACCCAAGTTAATATACAGAAATTAACTTGAAATGAATTAAAGACTTAAATGTAAGATCTGAAACCAAAAACTCCTAGAGGGAAACATAGGGGAAAAGCTCCTTGACATTGGCCTTGACGATAATTTTTTGGGATATTACACCAAAAGCACAGACTTTTGAAAAAATAAACAAGTAGGACTACATCAAACTAAAAAGCTTCTGCATGGCAAAAGAAAGTCAACAATATGAAAAGGCAACCTACAGAATGGAGGGAAATATTTGCAAACCATATACCTGATAAGAAGTTAATATCAAAATATGCAAAGTGTGTAAGGAACTCACATATCTTAATAGCAAAAAAGTAATAACCTGTTTTATAATGGACAAAGGGCCTGAATAGACATTTTTTCAAAGAAGACACACAGATGGCCAACGAGTGTAGGAGAAGACGTTCAACATCACTAATCATCAGAGAAATGCAAATCAAAACCACAATGAGATATCACCCCACACCTGTTAGGAAAGCTATTATGAAAAATGCAAGAGACAATGAATATTGGCAAGGGCATGGAGAAAAAAGAACCCTTGTACACTGTTGCTAGAAATGTAAATTGCAACGCTATTATGGAAAATAGAATGGAGGTTCCTCAAAAAATAAAAATAGAACTACCATACAATCTAGCAATTCCACTTATGAATGCACATCTAAAGGAATCAAATCACTATGTCAAAGAGATATCTGTACTTCCATGTTTACTGCAGCTTTATTCCCAGTAGCTATGATAATGATAAAATCTAAATGTCCACCAATGGATAAAGAAAATGTGGTTGGTGTGTGTGGGTGTGTGTGTGCATTTATACATACGCAATGGACTATTTTTCAGCCATAACAAAGAAGGAAACCCTGCCATTTGTGACAATATGAATGAACCCAGAGGACATTATGCTAAGTGAAATAAGCCAGAAACAGAAAGACAAATATTGTATGATCTCACTTACATGTGGAATCTAAAAATTTCAAACTTGAAGACCTATAAAGTAGAACAGTATTTATCAGGAGGTAGGGGATGTGGGGAACAAAAAAAATGTTGGGCAAAGAGTATAAACTTTCAGTTATAAGATGAAGGCCAGGTGAAATGGCTCATGTTGGTAATTCCAACACTTTGGAAGGCTGCGGCGGAGGGATTGCTTGAGACCAGCCTAGGCAAGAAAGTGAGACCTCCTCTCTACAAAAAATAAAAGAATTAGCTGGGAGTGGTGGCACATACTGTAGTCCCAGCTATTCAGGTGGCTGAGGTGGGAGGATCATTTGAAACTAGAAAGTCAAGGCTGCAGTCAGCCAAAATTGTGCCACTGCATTGCAGCCTGGGTGACAGAGTGAAACCCTGTCTCAAAAAAAAAAAAGATGAATAAGTTCTGGGGATCAAATGTACAGCATAGTGACTATAGTTTATAACTGTGTTATTACTTTAAATTGGATAAGAGCAGATTTTAAGCATCCCCAGCACCCCCTACAAAAACACACGCACAAACGGTAACTATAGATGGTGATGGATATGTTAATTTGACTGTCACAATCAGCATTCAATATATAAATATATCAAATCATCACATTTTACACCTTGAAATAGAAATTTTTATTTGTCAATCAAATATTTTTAAATAAAAATAATCATAATATTAATATAGCATAAAGGAAAAATTGCATATCTCAACTGATACAGGAAACTATTTTGATAAGAGTCAGTATCCTTTCATGATAAAAACACTTTAAAACAAAAGGAATAAAAGAGAACTCCCGCAACCTGATAGATGACACCTGTGAAAACCCCCAGCCGGCATCAGACTTAATAGTGAAAGGCTGGGCGTTCACCTCTTGAACCAGGAACAAGACAAAGATGCCTACTTTTGCCACTTCCATTTTACCTTGTACTGAGGTTCTGGCTAGGGCAATTATCCATGAAAAAGAAATAAAAGGCTTCCAGATAAAAGAAGAAGTAAAACTATCTCTACTCGCTCATGACATGATCTTGCATATAGAAAATATGCACATGTGCATACGCACAAACCATTAGAACTAATGAACAAGTTCAGCAAGTTTGCAGAATATAAAATGAATGTACAAAAATCAAGTGTTTTTCTATACACTAGCAATTAACAATCCCAAAATGAATTAAAATTCTCTTTTCAATAGTATCAAAAATAAATTATTTAGAAATAAAAAAGTGCACTGAAAACTACAAAATATTTTGAAATAAATCAGAAAAGATTTAAGTAAATTGATCACTTGAACCCGGGAAGCAGAGGTTGTAGTGAGCCGAGATTGCACCATTGCACTTCAGCCTGGGCAACAGAGGGAGACTCCATCTCGGAAAAAAAAAAAAAGGAAAGAAAGAGAAGGGAAGGGAACAGAAGGGAAGGCAAGGGGAGCGGAGGGGAGGGAAAGGGAGGGGAGAGAAAGGGAGGGGAAGGGAGGGGAGGGAAAGATAATATTTAAATAAACTGAAACATATTCTTTGGATCAGAAGACTTAATATTGTTAAAGTGACAATATTCCCCAAATTGATCTGTAGCTTCACCTCAACCCCTATCGATATCCCAGCTTGCTTTCTGGCTGAAATTGACGAGCTGATTCTATAATTTATAAGGAATCTCAAAGGATCCAGAATAACCAAAACAATATTGAAAAATAAAGAACAGCGTTGGTGGATTAACATTTTCCAATTTCAAAACTTACTATAACACTGAGGTAATCAAGTAGTGTCGCACTGTATAGCATGTACATTACAGATCAATGGACTAGAATCGAATGTCCAGAAATAAACCGTTATGTTTATAATGAATTACTTTTTAATAAGGTGTCAAGACAGCGCAATGGGAAAAGAATAATGAATTCAACAAATGATGCATGGACAACCGGACATGCACATGCAACACAATGAATTTGAATTCCTCTATCACAGCATGCATAACAACTAACTTAAAACGGATCACGAATGTAAATGAAAAGCTAAAATTATAATAATCCTAGAGGAAAACGTACGAGTAAATCTTTAAGATCTTATTGTAGGCAGTGGTTTCTTAGATATGACCCCAACATCACAAAAGAAATTGGACTTAAATATTTTTGTGCTTCAAATATCATCAAGAAAGTGAAAACACAACCCGCAGAAGCAATAAAAATGCCTGTAAGTCATATATCCGATCAGAGACTTCTATCTAGGATACATAAATAATGCAATTCAATGGTAAAAAAAAAAAAAAAGATAAATAGCCTAATTTTCCAAAGACTCAAGTATCTTAATATACATCTCTCCAAAGATATAGCCAATAAGCATCTGAAAATATGTTCAACGCCATTTGCCAGGTGCACAAAACCAAGATAGCATGAGGAGACGCTACAGGGACTCTGCTGCTTCACAGACATGAAGCATTGGTGAGAGCGTAGGCAGCCGCCTTTGGGAATTTCACATCCCGGCCGCCCCACGCATGGTGCGCTCGTGTTTAAACTTAGCCGAGATCGTTACACGCGATTGAGTGTGTGCCCGTCAGACCCTGCGCTGCCGACTGGGATGGGGAAGGCGGGAGCCGGGAGTGGGCGGGGACCTGGGGGTCAGGCCCCAGGCGCGGGAAGCCGCCCAGGGGCGCGCAAAACCTTCTCCATATTCCACACTCCTTCCAAGCATTTGCCTGCCGCGATTTAGAGAGCCGACCCGTGATCCCTGGCCTCCCCTAGACAGCCTCGGACGTCCAGGTGTGGTGACCCAGTCCAGCTTGCCTCCTGCGAGCAATGACCATCTCCCGGCCTGGGCGCGGTCTCGGCGCCCGCCTGCCCCCCGGCCAGAAGCCGCAGGTCCAGCCAGTGAGGACGCCGGCGCTGAGGGAGCCTCTGTGCTCCAGAATCCAAACTTTGTATCAGCGCTGGGGTGGCCTCCTCCAGGAAGCCCTCCTGATTCCCCCATGGGTCGCTCTTCCCCTACAGACTCTCGGAGCACCCCTGCTCTAAATACCGCGGCGTGGCACTGAGAACTTGCGGAGAGCAGAGGCTGCGGCTAGATTTCTAGGGGATCCCCGCAGCTCCACCCCAGCGCCTACAGGCGAAGCCAAGGCAGGCAGGCAGGACAAAGGGTGGAAGCAATGCAGGAGAGACCGAGTGAACGAATGGATGAGGGATGGCAGCCGAGGTTGCCGCAGTCCCCTGGCTGCAGATACAGACACCTTGCTGAGGAGGAGAGACCCAGGAGCGAGGCCCCCTGCCCAGTACAAGGCGAGGTCCAGCGCAGTCGGCGCCGTGTGAAGGGTGGGAGGGAAGTACTGTGGGGGCCGGGGCGGGGGCGGCCGGGAGCCGGGGGCCAGGCCGGGGCGGGGCCGGGACCGGGGCCCCGACCAGTGGTGGGAGGAGGCTGCGGCGCCAGATTCGGACGCCTGGACAGCCGAGCCGAGGCTCCCCGCGCTCGCTGCGCCCACGGCCCGTGCCATGCCCTCCTACACGGTCACCGTGGCCACTGGCAGCCAGTGGTTTGCCGGCACTGACGACTACATCTACCTCAGCCTCCTGGGCTCGGCGGGCTGCAGCGAGAAGCACCTGCTGGACAAGCCCTTCTACAACGACTTCGAGCGCGGCGCGGTGAGCGTGGGCGGGGCGCGGGCTGGGGGGCGTCCGGGACCCGGTTTGGAACGCAGAGGCCTGGGCGGGGGCGCTGAGGGCCCGTCGGGGCGACCCGGACAGGGGTGGGGGTGTCTAGGACTCCGTCGGGGCGGGCAGAACAGCGGTGGGGCGCGCCCTGGGCTCCCAGCGGCCGGTAGGTACCCCGGTGGGGAAGCGTCCAGGACCCCTGACTGCGGCCGCGACCCGCGTGGGAAACGGGAGACTTCCCGCGTGCCGTCTGCAGGGCGCCGCACGTCTTCCCTGGGAGGAGAAGGCCCAAGGTTTCCTCTCCACTTCAAGATCTGGGTTCGGAGGCTCTGGAGCCACCTTCAATGGTCCGCATTTCTTGTGCCACCGCTTCCTCAGGCTCCTTCCGCAGGTGGCACTGGGAGGGAGAGGCAGAGGGGTCATGCTCACAGAACTCTGAGGGCACCTCAGAGCAGCATGCTGTGAGCCGTGGGGGAGGGTGCAGGTCAGCGGGTCCAGAGGCCTGAGTTTCGTCCAGACATGACCATCAGCTCACTCTACCTTTAGTCTGGGCCTCAGTTTCCCCAGCTGTAAAGTGGAGGGTTGACTTCAGTCTGGTCCATGAGTCGTGGGTGAGCCCAGGCCCATCTGGTGGCTCAGACAGCACCTGGGCAGCTTACATTCTCAGGACAGGCCCCAGAGAAAATTAAAGGGAAGGAACAGAACCCAGGCGAGGAGAGGCCTTTCTTAAATGGAGGGGCTGCACTCCCTCCCAGCAGAATGTACACCAGGGAACACTTCCACGCTAGGTGTGAGGACTCGGGGGAGCCCTCAGCATTTGGAAGCTAGTTCCTAATGCTGATCTGGACCTGAATTCCAGCCCCAGGACTCTTTTCCATGAGCATGGGCAGGTCGCAGTTCTCACTGAGCCTTTAATGAAATGCCTACGCCTGTAATCCCAGCACTTTGGGAGGCCGAGGCGGGCGGATCACGAGCTCAGAAGATCGAGACCATCCTGGCTAACACGGTGAAACCCCGTCTTTACTAAAAATACAAAAAATTAGCCGGGCGTGGTGGTGCATGCCTATAGTCCCAGTTACTTGGGAGGCTGAGGCAGGAGAATGGCGTGAACCCAGGAGGCGGAGCTTGCAGTGAGCTGAGATCCGGCCACTGCACTCCAGCCTGGGCGACAAAGTGAGACTCCGTCTCAAAAAAAAAAAAAAAAAAACCAGAAATGCCTACTTCAGTACCTGGCAGAGGAAGCGCTCCATAAATGACTGGTAATAGTCCCAGACATACTGCATGTGCACAGGGAATATCAGTTCCCTTCCACCCCCACCCCAGCTCCTAACTGGACCAAAAAGATTTAGACTTTACCCAGCTGCCTTCTCACCATTTAGTTTACTATTTGATCAAACCGTATGAAATTGCTTATAATGGACAAATACAACTGGCAAGTTCATGTTTCAACTGATTATTCTTGGATAAAATTTGCCATCTTTTAGGTGTGCAGAGCCTGAAGTAAGTAAAAATGATTCTTTTTATGGATTCCAACCTCTCCATGAGTTCGATTCCTATCCAGGAGCCTCAGACCCTCGCTGTAGCACGACATGGTCCTCAGCCAAGGTCGTTAGCAACCTGGCTTGAGCTCCCTTCAAGAAGAGTTAGGCGTTGAGTACAAGACCAACCTTCAGTTGCTTAGTTGCCCCAGTCAGGGAACTGGCCCTGAGGACTGCTGTGCCTTGGAGTTAATGTGTCATCCATTTAGGGTGATGGCTCGCTCTGCCATTTCTGATGCACCTTCATTTACTTCCGTTATTTCATGGATTCCCCCACACCTAGGGGAGAAGGACAGGATACAGACTACTTCCCCTTTGTAAGTGCTTTCCCCTCCCCATTCTCCTCCACACATCATAAGGTTCTAGAAGCACAGGCCATCGGTGTGCTCACACTGCGTGGCACGGGCTTTTCCCCCTGGAGGGGACACCCTAACATGGCCATAGCGGGCTCTTCGGAGGAAGAGTGAAGGCACTGTTTTGTCTACTATCTCCCTCTCTGGGTCTGTCTTCCCCACCCTGAGAAGTCATTCAAATGACATTATAATTAAACACCTCAGCCGGAATCCCGGGCGCAAATTTCAGGAGAGGTTTGCATGTCACATTTCCATTGGGTTGAGAGGGCTCTAAATCAGGGGGTGGGGGGGATGGGGGTGGGGGCTACCGCAGGGTGGGGAACCAGCTAAGGCTGAAAGTTTCCTTGAAAAATTCAGCTTTTGAGAAAGTTCCTGTTGATGCAAAGTTACTCCACACTTTCTCTTGCCCAGCCCAAAACTACTTCCTCATTCTCCCAGCTTGGTATCTGTAAAGACAATCATCCTTTTTGGGTAAAGGTAAAAGAAAAACCCTAGAGGAGGTACTTGCTGAGAAGACAAGGTTATCCCATTTTACAGGGAAAAGTGTTAAAATCTGTATTGTTAACAGTAGTAATGATAGCAATAACAATAAAGGTATTGCCACACAATTCAATCATTTCCAAGTTATTGGCAGGTCCACATCCCCCTCCTCTAGGGCATAGTTCAGTCGAATAATGAACAGGACTGATTTTTTCCTTGATAAAAGTGAGTCACAAGTCCCTTGTTATTCTCATCAGAGTTCTGCATAGTGGTTCAGTCAGGACTGGGAATCAAGCTCTTTGCAGGTGGGATTATCCTATAAACAGTTGTGTCTTCCTTGGCTCCCCACTGTCTGCTGGAGAAAGCCAGGATCCTACACAGAATGGCCTTATTTCCAGAGGCTAACCCAAGTCTAGGCAAATTTAACAAGTTGATTTGTTTCTTTTTTTTTTTTTTTTTTTTTTTGGAGACGGAGTCTCACTCTGTCACCCAGGCTGGAGTGCAGTGGCCGGATCTCAGCTCACTGCAAGCTCCGCCTCCCAGGTTCACGCCATTCTCCTGCCTCAGCCTCCCGAGTAGCTGGGACTACAGGCGCCTGCCCGGCTAGTTTTTTGTATTTTTTTAGTAGAGACGGGGTTTCACCGTGTTAACCAGGATGGTCTTGATCTCCTGACCTCGTGATCCGCCCGTCTCGGCCTCCCAAAGTGCTGGGATTACAGGCTTGAGCCACCGCGCCCGGCCTGATTTGTTTCTTTAACCCTGTAAATTTAAAGTAATTCAGATCGGATACAATGACTGTAACAGATCTGAAGGTTTCTGAGAAATCTTAGTTGGCCCATTTCATTCCGTGCTAGTACTTTTAAGAAAGCTAAGGGTAATAGGGTGGTGTTTAATATATGATACTTGAATGTGTTCAACAAGTGTAGAAAAGTCTTACAACGATACATGCTTCTTAAATATAGTCAGTGAGTATTCTAACATTCATGAAAAATTAATTCTAGAATACCTCTTTCTTGTGAATGGAAATATATTAGTGGAGCATAAATATTTCTTTGTTATGACCCTCAATCCCTCTGTCATCTCCCAGTCTTCCCCTCTGAGCCATCTTTTCCCTACATTCTGCCCCCTCTTCTGCCTCCTCTTCCTTCCCCTGTTCCCAGTCCCCTCAATGCTCCCCATTTCTGCTCTCTGCCTTACAACTCTCCCTTCTCTTCTGCTCTGAATTTTTCTCTACACTGTCTTCCAGCCACCTCTTGGAGGCCCCTTCTCTGCTCCCTCAATCTCCGGCTCTCTGTCCCACATTTTCCCCTTCTCTGCCCCTTGGTCTCCCTATCCACTGTCCCCATCCCTCTCTCCATCCCTTGCTCTCCCCAGCTCTTCCCCATAACCTCCTCCTCTCTCATCCCGAGTCTCTGTTTTATCTGACCCCCAGTCTTCCTCTCTGTTCTACAGCCTCCTCCTTCCACAAGCCCCTCATTGGTCCCCCTCCAATATGGGTAGCCTGGAGCTGGGGCACACATCCTTGCTTCTGCAGAGAGATCCATTTCCCTGTCCCAGCAACAGCAGAAATCTGATGAAAGGCAGATGAAAACTTTCCTAAAATGCTGATAGAAAGCTCACATGAAAACTGACCAACTCACACTTTGCTGAAATATTCAAAAGCTTTAAAACTACATATCCAATAAAAAGTTAAAAGCAATAAGCAAAATCAGCAAAGTGGCCCCTTGTGAAAGGAGGCTGGTGAGTTGCAGGTGTTCCCTTGTCTCTCTCCAGCATCTGCACCACCACGCCACCCACTTCTGTCCCCAGAAACTGTGCCCAGCCTTCCTCCTCCCACGTGTGAATTCCCCTGGGGACCCTGCCCTCCCAGTTCTCCACATCTGAAATGTCCTACCCATGCCCGTCCTCCTGCTAACCTCCCCTCTGAAATCTGATCAGCCCCCAAAAGCTGCCTCAAATACCCTCTCTTATGAAGCTTTTACACTGTCCTTCCACGCCACTCCGCATTGCCCCTTTATACTCCATCCAGTGTACGAACCAGGGCTCAAAGCTAGGCCTTCTAGCTTCTGGTTCAGGGCTTTTCTCAAGATGTGGCCTTGGGGAACTGTGGGAGGAACCTGGGCTTGGCCATCACACAGGTGTAGGTTTTGATCTTGAGGCCACCATTGGTCTCTGAGCCTCAGTTTCTATCTATAAAGCAGGACAGTCACCTGCTCGGCCATTCCCAGGTCCAGTGCTTCCTGAGGGCCTGTTGTGGGGTGTCCACTGTTGATAGTGCCCATCATAATTCAATGTGTCACCTGAGAATTTAATGTGTCACATCTAATAGACAAATACAGCATCAGCCCAGTGTACTTGGCCCACAGAGGAGGGAGGAAGATGGGCACTGTAGTTCCACACACCTTCCAAAGACCTTACTTGGCAGTTTGACACATGTGACCCTGGTATTTTCCTGGAGGGAGGCCTTTCTCTATCTGTCATTCTTCCAGTAGTACCCCCTGGGATGTTGGAACCACAGCCACCAAGCTTTGTATTTTACTTCCTGAGTTGGGTCGAGGCTGGAGCCCTCCGCCCCTTGTTCACCTCTTATCACATTCAGGCCTGAAGCCAGCACCAGGAAAGTGGCTGGGCTGGCCATAGACCGCCAGACTGCAGGCCTGGCCCCCTCCTGATGTGGAAGGCTCCGTCAGATGGCAGATGGAGTCCTCGTAAATCTGCCTAGTGATTTTACTCCAAGTGAAACTCGGGGCTCTCCACCAGGTGCCTGCAGGTGTGGATAGAGCAGGGGGCCAGGAGTGTCCCAGTCCCCTGTGACTGCACCACAGATGTGCTGGAGGGTCACCCCACTGTCCGCTTCTTCAGAGAAGCTGCTCAGTCTCTTCGTGTGGGTCATCACCCCCAGGCAGACAACAGGCTCTCCCTGTGGGACCTGTGCAGTCCTGGAATGCCTCCTCGGCCCATCTCCCTCTCCTCTTAGTCCAAGGTACTGGGCGCCTCCCTCCTATGAGAGTGTCCCCTTCAGCTTCTCCTGCCCCTCCTCCAGCTTTCCTGGCATCTATCCCCCAGGGACACCTTCCTCCCTCTCCAACCCCTCAGAGCCACAGGAAAGCCACTTCCCCTGCAGCAGCCACACTCTGGCCCAGGCCCAGGCCTCTGGTGGCCGCCCCTCAGTCCTCACTGCACATGAACTTGCTCTGCCTGCCCCACCAGCACTCAGAATGCCTCCCACTCTCCCTCTGTCCTCACAGCCCTGTCTCCACCCTTTCAGGAGTTCCTTCTGGGCTTTGAGCAAAGGGGTTTGAGGTCACAGGTTCAGTTTCCTCCTCCCATGTGTGCTCTGGTTACTTGGATTGGCACATGTAGTCACGAAGGGGCTGCAACGCAGGGGCCCGTGCTAGCTCACAGGCAGTGCAGGGCCTGGTGTCCTGCAACCTCCTGGATTCGGGAAGGGGCACCGGTGGTTCTGACACACACAACCAGTGGCCTGTGCCTCTGGAGAAAGGAGGCCACCCAGGACGGTGTCACTTCGTTTTCTCAATGGTCCTGTAAGTGAGGGGTTATCATCCTTGGGTAGATGAAGAAACAGCTTCAGAGAATGAAGCAATGTGCCATCCAGCTAGTTGCCTGAAGCTGGGATGTGAATTCAGAGCTCCAGACCCCACGGCCCACCCAGCCTTCTGCCCCTCACTGCCCTCTTCCCATCATTAGTGGGATCAGGAATCTCTGTCTTGGCTCACAACCTGCAGCTGAGGTCTCTGTAAATCCCTGTGGCGTGCAGGGCCTGGCGTGGGGCAGGCCCAATGCCTATCCAGTCCTGGGCCACTCAGCCCCCACTCTACTCCTCCAGATGAGCCTGAGCCCCTGAGATGCTGAGACTCCTGTCCCATAAGAATCTGCCCGCCCTGCCCATGATGGGCGAGGCCTTGTCTGTGGCCCTGCTCTCCTGAGGATGAGCTGTGGCAGGAAGGCTCTTTCTCAGAGGTGAAAGGTGAGGCTGGTACTCTGCCCGCAGGAGGGGGATTCTCGTGGGGCCGAGGCTGGTCCACATGTGGCTGGATCCAAGACATGTCATCCCAGCACATGGGCCTGGTTCCTCTGCCATCAGAAACTGTTCCTAGGACCTCTGGCCTAAACCACAGAGCACAGGGAGGAAGCTTCCGCTTTCTGACCACAAGCGTCTGGCCTCAGTGTCAGCCACCCCAAACTGCTCACAGCATTCAGAGCCAAGAGGTTTGCGGAAAACACTTGACTTCCCATTCCTCTTAGGAAGCCCTCCAGGGGTCCTCCTGGCAGCTTGGAGGCAGGGCATGGAATGGGGATGCCTGGGCTCAGACAAAGGATGATACCCCTTGCCCCTTCCACTTTGCCATCGTGCTGAGAAGTCTAGGTTCTGCTGCCTTGGATAAAGCTCAAGGGTTGATTAATCTGACTTAGAAAGTGCCTTGGAGGGGCCAGGCACAGTGGCTCATGACTGTAATCCCAGCACTTTGGGAGGCCGAGGCAGGTGGAACTTGAGGTCAGGAGTTCAAGACCAGCCTGGCCAACATGGTGAAACCCTGTCTCTACTAAAAATGCAAAACTTAGCCAGATGTGGTAGCAGGTGCCTGTAGTCCCAGCTACTTGGGAGTCTGAGGCAGAAGAATCACTTGAACCTTGGAAGTGGAGGTTGCAATGAGCCGCGATCGAGACGCTGTACTCCAGCCTGAGCAACACAGTGAGACTCCACCTCAAAATAAAAAAGAAAATGCCTTGGAGGGCATCAAGTCCAGGGCTTTCCAAACCTGCTGGTCATCAGAACATGTAATGCAATGCCTGAGCCTCTCATCCCACCTTCCTGTTTGCCATCCATTGCTGCAGAGACACAAGCCCTCTAGAAGCTATGGCTGCTGCCTCAGAGCCACCTGTGTCCTGGAAGCAGGAGCCTGGCAGGGAGGAGGCCAAGCAGCCTTGTCCCGGAGGCCTGGGCAGCAGCGCTGTACACAGCCTGGGGTGGTGCCTTCTAGTTGCAAGGCCAGTCTCACCCTGCCACCAGTAATACCACAGGTGCAGCCGGAGCCGCTTGATCTCACTGTTCTGTAGGCATCACCATGCGGCTGTGAACTGCAGATGTCCCAGGAGGACTCAAATCCATGCAAGTTCCCTGTATCTAAGCCTCACCATTTTCACTCACTTATTAGCTACACTGATAACTGGAAAGAGAGGAAGTGGCTGTGATGGAAAGGCCTGGGGCGGGGCTCCAGCTCTGCTCTAAGTGGCAGAGGTGGGAGTCACTGAGCCTCGCTGTCTTCATCTGTGGAAGGGGTCATAACTCCCCTGCACTCCCAGCGTCGTTGTGGAGATCCACTTTCAGCAAGCCCATCACCAGTTGTAAAGGCCTCCCACAAGGCTGTCCCATGTGGGGGCAACTGCGGACCCTCACTGGGCACAGCCTCACAGGTGCAGGCATGAGCCTGGGCGTCTCCCTATCCTCCAGCCTGAGCTAAGTGCAGACAGCAGACGTTGCCCTCTGAGCAGCACGGCACTGTCCTGGCTCACTGGATTCTCTCTCCTCAAGAGTAGGGCCCAGGACTTGTCCATTTCTGCCACCTGCCTGGGTCTTAGCACTGAGCCTTGTCAGGGGCAGGCCTTCAGTGAATGTCTTGACTAAATGAATTCAGGAGTTCATTTAAGGTGTTCATGAAGCATCTTGGCTCCATGAACTTTAGTGGAAGCAGAACTCTACCTCTTCGCATTTTGGCTAGGCCTGAGAATCGGCATAAGACAGATTCATGGGCAAAAGCATACAGATTTCTTTAATACAAGTTGTACATGGCATGGGAGCCCTCTTAAAAAGATGAAGACCCCAAGAAGCAGTTAGAGTCAATCCCCCTTAGATACTGCATTGGATGATTAGTTGTGAAAGGTGATAAGGCCAAGGGGCTTGGGCTAGGGCAGGTAATTGGTCAGAGAAGTGACTCGGGAGGTCAGGGCGCGTTGTACAAGATCTGTTTGGATTTATTTTGGCTTCAGCTTCCCAAACTTGATGAAAAGAGTGTTACTTTCCTTTTGGTGTAGGGAGGACATCTTTCACAGGGGACTTTCATCTCCTGCTTCTAAGAAACAGCACGAATGTCAGAGTGATCTTGCACCTGCTGTTTTTTTAAGTGCTTTTCATTCAGCATAGTCCCTATGCCAGAGCAGCATACTTTGGGGTGACAAATTCTTAATACCTTCAGAACAAAGGCTCAGGAGACCACACATGGCCTGATTGCCTGTCCTCCTTCCCAGGTGGATTCGTACGACGTGACTGTGGATGAGGAACTGGGCGAGATCCAGCTGGTCAAAATTGAGAAGCGCAAGTACTGGCTGCATGACGACTGGTACCTGAAGTACATCACGCTGAAGACGCCCCAAGGGGACTACATCGAGTTCCCCTGCTACCGCTGGATCACCGGTGATGGCGAGGTAGTCCTGAGGGATGGACGCGGTGAGCAGCTCAGGCCCCTTCTGCCCCGGGCTTCCCGAGAACCGAAAGTTCTTCCTGTCCTCAAAGCACTGTAGTCATAGGAGGAATGACACTGCTGTGCAGGGGCGAGAAGTGGGAGGGCTCTGCCCTGTGTCTCGACACACCTGCAGGAGGCGTGACTTTCTTTGGGATTCATCCAAGCCCCTGAGGGTGGAGCAGGTGGCCCTAGGCTTCACTGCCATCATGTCCTCACTCTGTGCTACAGTTCTACAGGGGAGGGTTGTGCCTCCCTTTTTGTCAGTGGGTAACTAAGGCCCACTGAGGCAGATAGCTATGGGACATGCCCCTGGAGGGGCACTTCTCCAGTTGCCAGGGTGTGACATCACTTTCTAGGTTCATAGCCTGCCCTCTCTGAGATCACAGTAGGGCTCAGGCAAGCTCGGGGTGCCCTTGTGGGCCTGGGGAGTGAAGGGGTGGACAAGGAGCACCCCAAGTGCCAGCTCCGAGGGGCGATGGACAGGCCTGTAAATCACAGTTACCAGTTCTTCAACCCCAAGTCTCACTTTTTGCTGAAAGAGAGAAGAACCTCAAATCTGCTCCCCTTAGTCAGATCCCAGTCAGGAGGCCATTCTTTGTAAGGAACACACAGCTGACCTGGTAGAGAGCATCAGAGAGAGAAGCAGGCATCAAGGTCAGCCAAGGCCACTCTCCCTGAATGAACTGCCTTGCACACCCAGCCTCCTAGTGTACCCGGCAAAATCCTACCTCACTTCAAGTCATAACCCTTCTGCTTGCTCTCAGTTTAAACCTGGAAAGCTAAGTCTTCAAAGGCCAGGCAGCCACTGTACTAATAAGAGGAAGCCACTGCTTCTGCCATGACAGCTTCAAACTCTTCCTCTTTGACAAGTTTCCTGTAGCTAGTGTGTTTTTCACAGAAGTCTGGTGGGGTAGGTAGGAAGAAATGACTATTATCCCCATTATATAGCTAAGAAAACTGAGACAAAGGATAAAAATGTTATTATGTACCTGCTGTTCTTAAGCTACCAGGCCACATCCCATCGTTTCTGATGTGGAGTTTGACTTAAGAAACCAAATTTCCAGAATATTTCTGAACACGGAGATAAGAGGATTTTTGTCCCCCTACCTAATGACAGGAAAAAAAATCACAAAGTTCATTTATTCTTGTGGTCGTCAGAATGTGGAAAGTTGTGGAGAGGGCACTTCTCCTTTTCTGGTAGTTAGAAAATGCTGGCTCTGAAACTCCCTCCTGCCCATCTACCCAAGGTCTCAGTTATGAAGCCCTTCTTCCTGCAGACCCTTCAGCTCATCTCGGCAAAAAACAGATGGTACACTAGGATGAGGGTTTAAGAAAGGGGCATCACAAAGCTGTGGGCCCATGCACAGAGGGACCATGCAGAGTGCGGGGCCATCAGCACCACTAGTCCTGATGCAGGTGGAGGGAGAAGGTTGTGGGAGTAATCCAGAAGTATCCGGGAGACAGTACCCTTGGAGGAGCTGCGGCCCTCAGTAGAAAAGTGCTGGGGAGTAATTGGCCTCTCCTTGCTCTATATATTCCCTCCTTTCTGGTCAAAGTTCCCAGTGGGAAGCCCATTGAGGCATCTCATTCCAATCACTTTCAGGGATAGCACTGGTTGGAGGGTGAGCATAGAGAAGCTGTCCAGCAATTTTCACTCTCTCTACTGCTGTAAAACCAACCTCCTTGGTAGTTTTAAATAGCCATTTAATTTTGTTCATGCTCTTGCAGGTCAGGAATTTGGGAAAGGCTTCACCGGGCGGTTCATCTGTGGCCATGTAGCATCAGCTTAGGGAACTGGGGCTTCTTCTCTCTAGGCTCCTTGGCCTCTCTGTCCATATGGAGTCTCATTCTTTAAGGCTTCTCACAGAATAGTGTCCTCTGGGTGCTTGCGTTTCTTACATGATGGCTGGCTTCCAAGAGCAAGTTTTCTAAGAGACAGAAAGTTGAAGCTGCCAGTCTCTTCAGGCTTGGGCCTAGAAACTGGCACACTGTAACTTCCACCATATTCTACTGGTCCAAGCAGTCACAGAGCCCACCCAGACTCCAGAGGAGGGGATGCAGACCCCCCATCTCTCAATGGAAGGAATGTCAAAGAATTTGTGGCCTATTATTATTGTTGTTATTATTATTATTATTATTTTGAGACAAAGTCTCGCTCTGTTGCCCAAGCTGGAAGACAGTGGCACGATCTCAGCTCACTGCAACCTCTGCCTCCCAGGTTCAAGCGATTCTCCTGCCTCAGCCTCCCAGGTAGCTGGGATTACAGGCTCCAGCCACCATGCCTGGCTAATTTTTGTATTTTTACTAGAGATAGGGTTTTGCCATGTTGGCCAGGGTGGTCTGGAACTCCTGACCTCAGGTGATCCATTTGCCTTGGCCTCCCAAATTGCTAGGATTACAGTCGTGAGCCACCACGCCCAGCTGTGGCCGATTATTAATCCACCACATGGCACAACAACCAATCCCTTGAACAACCTGGAAATGAGGGGGGGCCAACCTACAAGTGATTCAGTTACTCACCATATGATCACCCCTTAAATCTAATATTTCACCACTACACCTTGGGTGAACATGAATGTCAGAGGGCCATTACTGTGGCCCCATGGATCCAGAGCATCTGTGTGAAGGGACAGTTTCATTAAGGCACTGTGTCAGTCCTTGGAACCTGCCCTGCTGAGCTCTTCTGCCATCAGTCCAGGCTTTCTCATCCTGTCATACTCCCAGAACTTCATCAGCCATTGGGTAGATTCTTCAAACACCTTTGGGGCCAGAGGAGAAGGACCATTCTCTTTTTTAAACTTGGCATGTTGCAATTGTGCATGTACTGACTTATTCATACCAGTGAAACTGAAGAGATCCAGCACCTCAGAGTCGAGGTGCCCAAGAGATTAGCTGGTTCCTTAAGGTATATAAGAGATGATGAATGTTGAGTGCCTCCAGAATTACCCCCATAGCCAATGATAACAGTTATTGTCACTATTAATACTCACCTTGCCTTCCGTGGCCTCAAGCCTCCCCTCTTGGCTGGCCTTACATCCCCAGGGGAGAATGCAGAGGTATCCCGCTAATATTCCTTTTTGGGCCCCAGTTCCAAGCTCAAGGATGAAGTTGCCTCAGCCTGGAAGTGCTATGGGGTGGACAGCTCAGAGTGTGGCCTGGGTGTCATCTGAGAACTGGGTCCAGGTCTGTAGTTAGATCAGTACAGAGGTTGAAGCCTATAGTTCCAGCATTTTGGGTGGCCAAGGCGAGAGGATTGTTTGAGTCTAGGATTTTGACACAAGCCTGGGCAACGTAGAGAGACCCCATCTCTACAAAAAAAAAAAAAAATTGAAAATTAGCCAGGGGCCAAGGTGGGCGGATCATGAGGTCAGGAGATTTAGACCATCCTGGCTAACACAGTGAAACCCTGTCTCTACTAAAAATACAAAAAATTAGCCGGGCGTGGTGGGGCACCTGCAGTTCCAGCTACTCGGGAGGCTGAGGAAGGAGAATGGCGTGAACTCGGGAGGCGGAGCTTGCAGTGAACTGAGATCAGGCCACTGCACTCCAGCCTGGGTGATAGAGCAAGATCCCATCTAAAAAAAAAAAAAAAAAAAAATTAACCAGGTGTGGTGGTGTGTGCCTGTAGTCCCAACTACTTAGAAGGCTGAGGTTGGGGAACCACTTGAGTCCTGAAGTTCAAGGCTCCAGGGAGCTATGATCATGCCACTGCACTCTAGCCTGGGAGACGGAGGGAGACCCTGTCTCTAAAAAAAAAATAAAATAAATACAAAATAAAATACAAAGACTCAGAGTAGGGGTTTTGGAAACTTTTAAAGCAAGTTAACAGAACAATTTTATGACTTTTGTACTTAATAAGAAAAAAAATGACTTGCATTTTGAATATCTTTGGGTGTTGTAAATTTCATTTTCATTTTTTCTAGTAATTAATTGCTATTATATTTTACAAAAATATCAATCTGTGTTGAAAAGAAAGTTTTAAAACGTAATGCTTCACCATGAGAGCTACAGAAACTATTCCAGGATCTGTTTTCAGGAGATCTGGGTTCCCCCTACTCACAGCTCTATGGGCTGCATTCACAGGCTTGGCCTTAAGCAATAGTTTAAAGAGTGGTCATGATATGACCTGGTCTGCTGTAAAGGCTCTGAGAAGCAGCCCTGCCCTTAGCTACCTGCTCCAACTCCTGCAGTGAGAGACACGCTGAGAGATAAGATGCTTTCAGAGCCAGGCTTAGAGGGAGGAGCAGAACCCTCAGGCCAATGATGACTGTAGGCATGATAATGGTCATTGTTTCCATCCATTGGCATTTGCTGCATGCCAGGTGCTATGTGGAGGGCTTTCCTGCATTCTCTCCCCAAATGCACACCATGACCCGGAGAAGTAGGCATTATCATCTCCATTTTACATGTGAAGGGGTCAGGGCAACTCTTGGTCACACAGCTTCAGTGATGGAACCCAAGTCCAAGCACATGTGCATTGGGCATTGTTATTGTTCTTCCTAAGGCTCCTCTCATGTTGTTCTTTCTTTACAGCAAAGTTGGCCCGAGATGACCAAATACACATTCTCAAGCAACACCGACGTAAAGAACTGGAAACACGGCAAAAACAGTATCGGTGAGTTATGACATCAGATCAGGTGGTCACGGGGGCCTTGATTTCTTCTAGCTCAAGTGCATGGTATGAAATAAACCCTTTTCACGGCGTATGGCCCATCACTGCTGGAAAGTCACCAAGGCACCAACTCCCAGTGTGGCTGCACAATCCCCAAACTTCACCTTACCTACAACTCCAGACGAGAGATGGAGAGGAGAGTAATGAAACTTTGAATCAATCATATTGGCATGTAGGAAGAGTGGGCAGAAAAGCTTGAGTGTATCTTAATGTTCTCCATTGTGGGAGTTGCCTCTTACTTCTTATGTCTTCTTATAACAATTCAATTATAAAAGTGATATGTGATCAGCAACAAAATTGACAACTCTTCGGCCAACTGACCAGAGGATTCAAACTATTAAAAGCCCAGACCCAGATAACTTCACTGGCTAATTCCATCAAACATTTAAATAATTAATACCAATCTTGCATAAACTCTTTTACAAAATAGCAGGAACACTTCCCAACTCATTGTCTCATACCAGTATTATACCAAAACTAAAGGCATCACAAGAAAACTATAAACCAATATCCCTTAGCAATATAGATATAAACATTTTCAATGAAATACTAGCAAACCTAACTCAGCAATATATAAAAGGCATTAAACAATATGAACATGTGGGATTTAGCCCAGGAATGCAAAGTTGGTTTAACATCCAAAAATCTATTAATCTATTAATTGAATACACCATATCAATAGAGTAAAGAACAAAACAAAGTACATAATCATTTCAATAGACATACGAAAAAAGGCATTTGACAAAATCAACAGCCATTCATGATAAAACACTCAAAAAATAGGAATTGAAGAGAGTGTCCTCAACCTGATAAAGGTTTGAAAATTCACAATTAGGCTGGGTGCGGTGACTCATGCCTGTAATCCCAGCACTTTGGGAGGCCGAGGTGGGCAGATCACGAGGTCAAGAGATTGAGACCATCCTGGCCAACATGGTGAAACCCCATCTATACTAAAAATACAAAAAGTGGCTGGGTGTGGTGGCATACGCTTGTAGTCCCAGCTACTCAGGAGGCTGAGGCAGGAGAATCACTTGAATGCAGGAGGCAGAGGTTGCAGTGAGCTGAGATCATGCTACTGCACTCCGGCATGGTGACAGAGCAAAGAAAAAAAAGAAAATTCATGGTTAACATTATACTTCATGATGAAAGATTGAATCCAGAAACAGGATAAGGATGTTCACTTTTGCTACTTCTATTCAACATTGTACTGGAGGGTCTAGCCAGGTCAGTTAGGGAAGTAAAAGATAAGTAAAGGCACCCACACTGGAGTACAGTAAGTAAAACTATCACAATTTACAAATGACATGATCTTATATATAGAAAATCTGAAGGCATTCACCAAAAGAAACTATTAGAACTAATAAACAAGCAAGGTTGCAAGATACAAGATGATCAATTGTTTTTCTGTATATTAACAACCAACGATGTGAAAATAAAAGTAAAAAAAAGTTCAATTTACAATAGCATCAAAACAATAAACATTTATGAATAAATTTAACAAAGTAGTCTGAGACTTGTACAATGAAACTACAAAACATTGTTTAACATAATTAAAAATGATCTAAATAGATTGAAAGACATTTCATGTTCATGAATCAGAGGACTTAATTTTGTTAAAATAGCAATTTTTAAAAAGTAATAACCTGTACATACATAACAAAGTAATGTGCAAGTTCAACACAACCCTTATCAAAATTCTAGCTGATTTCTTGGCAGAAATTGACAAAGTGTTCCTAAAATTCATATGGAAATGGAAGAGATCCAGAATAGCCAAAACAATCTTGATAAAAAGAAAACAAAAATGGAGGACTTGCACTTCTCAATATCAAAATTACTACACAGCTATGGTATTCAAGACAATGTGATATTGGCATAAGGATAGATACATGGATCAATGAAATAGACTTGAGAGTCCAGAAATAAGCCCTTACACTTATGGCCAATTAATTTTTGACAAAAGTAGCAAGACAATTTAACAGAGAAACAATAGTCTTTTCAAAAAATGTCCCTAGCAAAACTGTATAGCCACATACAAAAGAATGAAGTTGGATCCTTAGCTCACACCATATACATAAATTAACACAAAATCAATCAAATACCTACCTAAATGTAACAGCTAAAACTATAAAACTCTTTTAAGAAAACACAGGAGTAAACCTTCATAATTTTGGATTTGACAAAGGACTCTTTATATGACACCAAAAGCATCAGCAACAAAAGAAAAATAGATAAAATGATGTCATCAAATTTGCAAACCTTTATGTTTCAAAGGACACCATCAAGAAAGTGAAAAGACGAACCACGGAATGGAAGAAATATTTACAAATTGTATATCTGATAAGGGCCTTCCATCCAGAATTTATAAAGAACTCTTAAACTCAATAAAGACAAATAGCCCAATTAAAAAATGAAAAAAATGAGTGAGGATCTGAATAGATATTTCTCCAAGGACCCATTAGTCATCTAGGAAATGCAAATCAACACCACAATGAGATACCACTTGATACTCACTAGGATGGCTAGAATCAAAAAGTCAGACAAGAACAAGTGTTGACAAGGATGTGGAAAAATCAGAACCCTCATACACTGCTGGTAGGAATGTAAAATGGCACAGCTGCGTGGAAGAGTCTGCTAGCTCCTAACTGTTCAACAGAGAGTCACAATATGACAGCATTTCCACTCTTAAGCATATTCCCAACAGAAATGGAAACATATGCTCACACAAAAACTTGTACATTGATGATTATAGCAGCATTGCTTGTAACTATCAAAGGTGTACACAACCCAAATGTCTGTTAATGGATGAGTGGATAAAATATAATATATCTATATAATTTGACCATGAAAAAAGAATGAAATACTGACACTTGCTACAACATGGATGAATCTCGAAAACATTATGCTAAGTGAAAGAAACCAGTCACAAAAGATCATATATTGTATGATTCCTTTTATATGAAATTTCTGGAAGAGAAAAATCTGTACAGACAGAAAGTAGATTACTGGTTGTCTAGGGGCAGGGAGTGAGGAAGTGGTCATGGGAGTGACAGCTAATGGATACAGTGTTCCTTTTGCGGGGGATGAAAATGTTCTACAACTGATGGTTGTCCGTTGTGTAAAAATTAATACTAAACATCCTTGAATTGAACACTTTAAATGGATAAATTTTATAGTATGTGACATATTTCAATAACGCTGCTAGAGAAATTTAAAAATTCAAAATGGATTATAGATCTAAAAGTAAGGGCTAGCAACATAACACTCTTGGAAGAAAACATACGAGTAAGTCTTCATAATCTTGGGTTCAGCAAAGCCTCTTAGATATGGCACCAAGAACGCAGGCAGCAAAAGAAAGTAGCCAAGTTAGACGTCATTAAAATGTAAAAGATCTATACTTCAAAAGACATCATCAATAAAGTGAAAAGGCAACCCACAGAATGGAGAAAATATGTAAATCATATGTCTGATAAGGGACTTGTATCCAGAATATATAAAGAATTCTGACAACTCAATTTAAAAATATTCTGTATGAATAACCCAGTTTAAAAATTAGCAAAGCATTTAATTAAATAGTTCTCCAGAGAAAATTTGTGAATCTCCAATAAGCATGTGAAAATATGCTCAACATTACTAATCATCAGGAAATTTCAAATCAAAACTACAAGATACAATTTCACACCCTTTTTTATTTTTTAGAATAAAAAAGACAGATAGTAACAAGTGCTGCCAAGGATGTGGAGAAACTGGAACCCTGATGCTGCTACTGGAATGTAAGATGATGCAGCCACTTCAGATAACAGTTTAGTGGTTCCTCAAAATCTTAAACCCAGCTACAATATGACCCAGCAATTCTACTCCTAGTCCTCTACCCAAGAATAATGAAACCATACATCTATACAAAAACTTGTACACACGTATTTATAGCACCATTGTTCACAATAGCCAAAAAGTAGAAACAAGCTAAATTCCGTTAACTGAGGAATGAATAAACAAAATATAGTTTATCCATACAATGGGATATTTTTTGGCATTAAAAAGGAATGAATGCTGGGCACGGAGGCTCACACCTGTAATCCTAGCACTTTGGGAGGCTGAGATGGGCAGATCTCTTGAGGTCAGGAGTTTGAGACCAGCCTGGCCAACATGGTGAAACCCTGTGTCTACAAAAATACAAAAATTAGTCAGGCGTGGTGGTGCGCACCTGTAATCCCAGCTGTTCAGGAGGCTAAGGCAGGAGAATCACTTGAACCCGGGAGGCGGAGGTTGCAGTGAGCCTAGATTCCCGCACTGCACTCCAGCCTAGGTGACAGAGCAAGACTCCATTTCAAATAGAAAAAAAAAGAAATGAAATGAACTACAGATACATGCCAAACACTGAATGAACTTCAAAAATATGCTAAATGGAAAACTCACTTACGGAAGACCCCATATTGTATGATTCTATCTGTATGAAATGTCCAGAATAGGCAAACCCACAGGGTCAGATTAGTAGGTGAGTAGTTGCCTAGGACTAGGAGTTGGGGTGGGGGAACAAGGAGTGAGTGTTAATGGGTTCGAGGTGTCCTTTGGGGATGAGATTATTTCAAAATTAGGTTATAATGATGGTTACACATACAACTCTGCAAATACATTAAAATCTTTCAATAGCATACTTTTAAGGGGTGAATTTAATGGTATGTAAATGTATCTCAATAAAGCTTTTTGGAAGATAATAATAATAACACATTACAGAGTACTCCTCTGGAAATGGGTGGCTGATGGGCTGTATCCAGCCTCTACAAGTGTTTGATGGATCATTGTTGACTTTTGAGTAAACAGAGATATTCTTCAGGCTTCCCCAGTCCACACCTGTCTGTTGTCTATATCAAGGTTTTCTCTCATTTCGTTTCATGCTTTGGCCCCTGGAAACATTTGAGTCTGTGTCTCCTTCCAAGGGAAGGAAG